TGGGCATTAGTTGTATGGCAATGCCTCCGAAGGGCCCTAGACTAGGCAAGAAGGTACAGGTGGGGAAGCCGTGGACAGAACTGAAGGAGCTTCCGCCTTTTTCACCCCCGCCCACCACAGAGTTTGCTGTCCAGACTCTCCTAGTCGATGTAGCCGACTCTGCTAGCTCGCCACCGCATGATTACATCAATCTGGAGAGTCTCCGCCTTCAACCCGTCATCCAGTCCTTTGATATGTTCACACAAACCGAGTTGCCTGCGGAACCAGAGGACTTTGTTGTGGTGCAAGAGGCACCAATTGTTGCAAGCGCCGTGCCAATAGCCTTACTGGAATCCCCGGATTCAGAGGAGATGGCCCTGTCCCAGGCCGCACTTAGGCCGCCACCACCAGAGTATAAAACCGCCGTGGCCCAGTGGTCTCCCGATTTAACAGAAACGGCTGTGCAGAACTCGGCTGTAGTCCTCTTTGACGTTGGAACCCAGTCAGAGGCAATGGCGGCAAAAAGCGGGGAATCGAAGCCTTGTCAAACTGAAGAGGAGAAGGAAAAGGCTTCATCACGACTTGCAAGTCTCTCCTGTGAGTTGCACTTTGCACCGCCACTTGGCACCGATGCCAAACAACTCTACTCGAGTCCGGTGGCTGTGGACGAGAGTGATGATCAGCACCTCAAATTCCGCATCAATTTTGAGGAACTGCAGGCCAGTACTCTGTCACCGAGGCCGGTTCGCTCCCGGACACCCGCAAACGACAACCGACGACGGATCTGTTCGATGGATGAGGCAGCCTTGCAGGAGGCCAAACGGAATGATTTCATGTAGACGCGAGCTTTCGGAAACTATGCCTGCACCCAAGACGCACTTAGGTTCTCTCTCTCTTTCTTTCTATGAACAATAGTACTGATTAATTTGTCTTTCTGTTTCTAGGTACTATTCTCTTTTAAATAATTTGCATACTACAGAGAAGAGTTTCGTCTTCTCTTGATTAGATGGAGCTGTTGTTGTCTTCGCTTTCTTTCTCCAGCTTTCTCAATTGTATCACTGCTTTTCGCCAACCAGCTTGTGATTTTAGCCTTTTGTCAGTAAATAGCATTGATTCCTTCCTACTTGGTTCATTAATCCTTTGCCAGTCTCTGGAAGATATAGGGTCTATCGCAAGCTTGTTTTTGTATCGACAACAGAAGGATTCCCAAATCACTAGTCAGGGGAGACGGTGTTGGTGGATAGAGCTTTAATGCCGGAAAATGAACGGTAAAAGGACTGTGTTACGAGACAGCTGCCAGCTGCATCTGCTCGCCGGGTGTGTCCGTGAAGTTGTGTCGATTTGTCTGTGCGATGAGTACTCTGCCGTCTGCAGCCAATCAAATGAAGTGGGGGCATCGATTGACTTGCAGCGTACACGCTTATCAAGCAGCGAGTTGATCGATAGCGTGAGAAAGGCCGATAGCGCGCGCGGAGTGGACAATTACGCGTGGGAGAAAGGCCTGGCAGATCAAAGGCAGAATGAGTCACACGCAGGTCCGCTGGGCGGCAGAATCCTACAGTTCCACTGAGGGTAGACAGTTGATGGCAGGGGGGTGGAGATGCGCGGTTTCGCAACACAATGACGGTGAGGAGTACTTATATGGTCCACCAAATCGGACGCGGGGGTAGGAACCATCCCCAATACAGCTGGTTTTGTCGAAGCTGTCCTGTCCGGTGGCTGTTCCGTATCGGTGGATTCCATATGGGCGGTAAAGTTGGGCGAGTTATATCGACTCAAGCGTGACTAAATTCATGGCGCGAGGCGGGGCGTTTGTAGCTTAGCGGTTTGAGCGTTGGCCACCAGTAAAGGCCTTCTCTGATACGCGGGTTCAAATCCCGCCGAACGCCTCGACTTTTTTCACAATTTGTTCAACTCAAATTAAGCAAATCTGCCAAACCTCCTAATGATAAAACGAAGGTTTCCTAAATCAGAAGTTAGGGAAGACAAATTGGGCTGTAACAGCTTATACTGCGAGAAAATGAGCCTCAAAACAGGCTCTGTCAAGCGGTAGTAGCCAGCCGTGTACCCATGCTAACTTTGACAGGGTGTTCGCTGCTGAGAAGTCTTGACAGCCAATCAGATGAAATGGTGCGCATCGAGTTTGCGTGCGCCTCAAGCGCCAAGTCGATGGAGACCGTGGGACAGACAGGAAAGCGCGGGCCTCTCGCAGCGATTGGCAAAGAACGTGCAGAGGGAGTTTGTCCCCCGCAAATACCCAAAAGCTTCGTGAACGACGACAAGACGAGTCAGCACAGGGGTGTTGGGCGCGGGCTACCACAGTTTTCCTGAGGTTAAAATTACTGCTGCGACTTAGGTTAGGCTATTATTCAAGGGAAATGTGGAATTCAAGAGTA